CGCCCCCTGTCCCCCTCCGCCCCGCCGGGGCGAGCCTGCCCGGACCCCCGCGCTGCCATGGAAGTGCCGAGCGTCAAGGACTTCCACTGGAAGAGCCTGGCGCCGCTGCCCCGCCGCCGCGTCTACTGCGCCCTGCTGGAGAGCGGGGGGCAGGTGTACGCCATCGGGGGCTGCGACGACGGCGGCGTCCCCGTGGACTGCTTTGAAGTCTACTCGCCCGAGGCCGACCGCTGGACCGCCCTGCCGCCCCTGCCCACCGCCCGCGCCGGCGTGGCCGTCACCGCCCTGGGGAAGCGCATCATGGTGATCGGGGGCGTGGGCACCAACCAGCTGCCCCTGAAGGTCGTGGAGATGTACCACATCGACGAGGGCAAGTGGAAGAAGAGGAGCACGCTGCGAGAGGCGGCCATGGGCATCTCGGTCACGGCCAAAGGCGAGTGGGGCCGGGGCCGGGGTTGTGGATTTTGGGGCGGGGGGGGGGGGGGGGGGGGGGGGGGGGGGGGGGGGGGGGGGGGGGGGGGGGGGGGGGAGGGTGGCCACGGAGAGGGGAGAGGGCCCCTCCCCGGAGATAACGGGTGGGAACCCACCCTGATTATGCTCCTGCTCCCATCTGATCCTCACCATGAGATCCACTGATGGGGAAATGGAGGTTGAGCCGCCAAGTGTCTGGGAATTCCATGGAACACCCCTGCCCCGCCCCCCAGCAAGCTGAGCAGGTCAAAAGCGGAGGGTCGAGGTGTCAGGTGTGCGTCGTGGAGTAGGTGTAGACCTCCCCCATTCTTCGGTGGAAAGACCACGCCTCCCACCCACCACACCCCATCCACGGAGACCCACAGGTTTCACCACCAGAGTCTTAACCTGGAGTCCTGAGGGCGTTCACTCCATCCTTGCCCAATCACTGAGCCTCCCTAGGGGTCTGTGGAACCTGATTTCAGCACTGTGTGTGTGTGTGTTTGTGTGTCTGTCTGTCTGTCTGTCGGACTGTACTGAGGCTTGAACTCAAGGCTCCGGTGCTGTCCCTGAGCTTTTGCTCAAGGACAGTGGTGCTCTACCACTGGAGCCACAGCTCCACTTCCCGCTTTTTTTTTTTTTGCTGGGTAATTGGAGATAAGCATCTTACAGACATTCCTGCTCAGGCAGATTTAGAATCACGACTCTCAGAACTCAGTCTTTTGAGTAGCTAGGATTATAGGCCTGAGCCACCAGCGCCTGGCTCCAAGTCTTTCTCCCCACCTCCCTTCCCCTCGTTCCCTTCTGCCTCCCAGACTCAGAGGTGCAAGTGGAGATCAGAATGTTCAGTGTTGTGTTCCCATAGCTCATTCTTTATCCAGGTTCACTAGGCTCCCAGGCATTAGCTTCCCAACTGTGTGGATTTAAGATCTTCATTTCACTTCCTCAGAGTCCCTCAGTTCATTCTTTTTGAGCCTAATACAGCCCAGAGCATGGTGGGGTGTGGGAGGGGTATCTAATGCAATTTTTACTAAGACTCAGCTTTATGGGAAATGGTCTAATGAGAGTTAGGAGATCCCAAGTTCACACGCTTGCCAGAGCGGCACAGGTATTCAGTAGAGGGTGAGGGTGACACCCCCCCCCATATTTTTCCTCATCTTTCCCTCCTTCTTTTTCTCAGTCATCCCAGCTACCTGTCAGGCCTAGATCAGAAGCCAACATTTTTTTGTTGTTGTTGTTGGTTGTGGGGCTTGAACTCTGGGCCTGAATGCTATCCCTAAGCTTGTTCATTCAAGGCTAGCACTCGACCACTTTGAGCCACAGTGCCACTTCCAATTTTCTGGTGGTTCACTGCAGATAAGAGTCTCCCAGTGCTCGCTTGGGCAGCACATATATTAAAAAAAAAAAGAGTCTCACAGACTTTCCTTCCCTGGCTGGCTTTGGGCCTCCATCCTCAGATCTCAGCCTCCTGTATAACTAGGATTACAAATGTGAGCCACCAGCGCCCAGCAGTCAACATTTCTTTTGTTTTTGTTTTTTTTTGGTCCATTCGTGGGCCTGAACTCTGGGCCTGGGCGCTGTCCCTCAACTCTTCAGCTCAAGGCTAGTGCTCTACCACTTGAGCCAGAGCGCCACTTCCGGCTTTTTTCTTTTTGCTTATGTGGTGCTGAGGAATCGAACC